AGGAGCACCAGGAGCACCTGGTAAGATCTCGTGAGGCGCTTCCTTCCCGATGCTCCAGAGAGCAAGACGTTCATGCGCAAGAACAAACAGATGTGATGTGCGTTGAGGTAATCTACGTAGTCTAGCACCGCAGCCTCTACAATCTTTGATTGAGTGGTGCGGGTCATATGAAACCTTGAACATTTCACGAGTTTCGCGCTGCCGCAAAGTTGATGTCGACCGGACATAGTAGAAGACATCATTTGTCGAACCAACTTGTGTTAGATTGTCTCTGCCACGCTGCGGCAACAGCCTACAGCAGTAGTTGTTCAAACGGCGCACACAACCAAAGCGGCCAAGAAACAAGCATGTGCTTCTCTCACTCCTGGCTCCACCAGGTCCGGTGACATCTTGCGCGGACGGCTGCGGTCACCTATTATCTGTCGGCAACGCAGGAGCGATGACATCGGTCTCCTTAACAAGAGGCTTCGTCCGTTCCCTTCTCTGCAAGGCCGGCGGGAATATCGACGAGGAGGACTTTGAAGGCACCATGCAGGCAAGCCGCTGTCGAGCAGTATAGCGCAACGTTGATGCATCGCACCGATTGTCACATGTCTCCTTGGACGGAGGGTTTCACCCAACCTTATGCTCACAGTAGTCCGCCCGAGTCAGGAGATTGTAGCCCGCAATCCCTTTGTTTTATTCTATGTTTCTTTGAGAAGGGGCCGTGAGCCAGCTCTGTCCCGAGCTCGCCGAAGTATTTTTTTAGCAACGATACACACCGCTCGTTGGGAAAGTAGGCAACAGATCGGGGGCAGAAACGGAAGTTGTCTCGGAAAGGATAGCAAGAAGGGAAAAGGTATATCGGTTCGGGGACCGGGGCTTGACAGAAAGGGGGAAGAGGTGTATCTAGTACCGTAGGGCGGGGAATAAGGACACTTCGGGGCATGCCTATGTGGCAGGCACTGTAGTTATCATCGTAGCAGAACATGTGAACAGAGGCAAGCCCTCGAGGAAACGATGACCAAGTTGGATGGGTGTGACATGGGAATGCTTGATAGTTCGGATCGTGCATGCATGGAGGCAATGATTGCTATGTAGGAGATAAGCGGTGAACACACAACGCCAAACAGAAAACGAAGAAACTGCAATATAGAATAGAAACCGGTCATTTACGAGCAGACCGGTGCCGGTCTCATAATAGAAGCGGGGTCAATAGTCAAAATGGCTCAAACCCTGGATTCCGGATCAACGTTTCGTGCCATGAGGTGCCAGCTATTCTTGGTCATATCGGCCGCATTGCGCGCAACACTCTTGGTGCTTCACGTCCGTCTCCCCGCAGAGATTGACCCGCATCCTCGAGCAGGATCTACCTTTGCAATACGAAAAACCCCAAGACTTGTCGATCTTCGGCGACAACGTCGAGTTCCAAGACCCGGTCACAACTCTACGCGGAAAGCTTTTCTACCGCGGAATGCTATGTGAGTATGTGTACACCTGCGATGCGCATGGGGTGCGTACACTCGGCTCTTTTGTTGGGCCTCGAAGCCCGCTTTTTTCGTTTCGGGTACATGCACGTGTTGATTATTTTGCAGCTCGCACGTACATTGGCACGAAGGAAATCCTTCAAGCGTCCGTACCAACTCCCCCCTTCTTGTAGTTTATCCAGAGTGTTGTTCAACGATGTTTCGACAAGAAATATCCTTCCCTTCGAAACGACCAAGCCCGAGGCGGTGATTGGCTAATCTCTGTTTCGTGAAGACGTACTGATACACAAACGTGCGTGTTTTGCGTGGCGGCAGTCTTTACCCTCCTCTTCTTCCGCGTCGCCTGCAAACCAGGATCATCCTACTTCGAAGTGATTGCGATAGATAGGTAAGTGCAATCCAGCCGGGCCAGCCTTGTTGTCAGCAAGAGGTTATTGTCGCTAACACGCAACTCTTGAGCTCGTTGAAGGTTCATGTACTTCGGTTGTTGTTCCTGTCGTCATCCCATTTCCATAATCGCACATAGTTTCGGCCTCGCGCGGTTATTTAGTAGCGGATCGGTTTCCACGGAACTATTCATGTCCGATGCAGCCTCCGACGTTGTTAGGAGTAGGGCACATAAGGCGTCGGCAGAACTCCCTCAATTGTCGATGCACCTGGTGGCACCGGGAATATAGTATTGGGGAAGTTTTGCTACCGCTTCTTGGTTGGTTGTTCGTTGACAAAGCAACAAACAGTTCTACCGTTGACTCAATGCTTACTCCAATGAGGTGGGTCTAAGCCACGCATGGTGCCGAATTGGTGGATTATGGTACCAGCGACTGCTGTGCAGACAAAAAACAAACCTACTGCTGCATCTCTGCGGCTCAAGCCGCCCTACAAACTCGTTGGCAAAGACTTCCTGTCACAACTCTTGAGTTCGTTTTTTAAGGGTATTTCGAAGTACCCCGAATTTCGAACGAGCGCATCCAACAGTTTCGATCGCTTTTATATTTAGTGTTCAGACGTTTTGCCAAGTTTATTGAGATCGTTGAATGTGATGATCTGCTTCAAGCCGGACTTTTGCCGCCCGTTTGTTGTCGAGTTGTCCTGGGAGACAAAAAGGTATTCCCGCCAACGGGACTTCATGGCTCGTTATCCCAGACTCTTATCTGTGGATAGAGATAGGTTTGTTGTGCTACGCCAAGAAAAATATGTAAGAAAACCTTAAGGGTAGACCGGCTGAATATCGAACGAAACCTGGGTGTCGAACACACGAAACGACCAAGTAAACTAACGACCTGACGATTGGGGCAGCAGAAGTTTAATAACTAATCCTTGCTGGTCTCCATGCGGTGTCTTCATGCGCCATCCTTTCTTAAACTCGTCTCTTTGCCTTGCTGTTAATGTTGGAGAGAGTGACACCCGATGCGAAATAGGGTCAAATCGGAACATGGCCAAGCCCTTTCTATCTTTCTCTCTTGCGCATATGGTGTTGCACGTGAGAGAGACCTCTCGCTCTCATTTCGTTGTTGCTGGTTGTTGTATTCCCCTCCCGAAACCCACGTATTGAGTGCTACGTATATCAAATGTGGTGCGGAGTCGAGGTTCTGGTTGGTCAAGGCTTACTTTGAATATCTTTTCACTACGTCGATATAGTAGTGCTCGTGACGGGTTTCCGTTGTTTCTGATATGTTTTGCTGAGTCAATGCTGTACGTTGTCGGATGGCACACAAACACGATAATTCGACGCCAGCGTGTCTACACACACACATCAATAAGAAAAAACACGCACACAAGTCTTTTGTTCCTTGTTCAGCCGGTTAGCGCGGTCGATGCAAATAACCCCGCAACACGCACACCATGGCCATTAGAAGCTCTTCTTTTAATGCGCACTGGTACTGATTACGTCTTTTCATTGGTCAGCCGGTTAGCGCGGTCGATGCTAATAGTAAAACACACACACACACACACACACGTACAGGCCGACGAGGAGGACCATTCGAACCGTTTGGAAGACTGGAGCCGTAACTGTCAACGGGCGAGATCTCTTCATTTCTGGTGTCGACAATTTCACAGGTTGGTCTCCGTTCAGTCTATCCACCTCCTGCATCGAACGTTTGTGGAAGTTTTCTGCGGGGTTGATATGCTTTGGTAAATTGTACGTAATAGATAGGAATAACTGTTGTTCTTGGCGAGGATGAAGGGGGACTCACACATTGATGGACGTACTATTTTTGTTGTTTTCTCTTGTCTTTCTGTGAACAGAGTTGAACGGCACGTACTTTCATCCGCACACCACGTCACTTGTATCGCGTCCATGGGCGGCATTGGCCCACCCCGTGGGCTTACAAACTACGCACAATTGTCCCATCAATTCATGTGCCGCCAGACATTCTCCCACCAATCGTGTCGGCCTGTTCGCGCGCGTGCCTTGGCTGCTTTTTTTTCTATGTCGACCCGTTTCTCACGCTGGGACACTGTTGTCACCCTCCTGGCGCTGCGCGACAATAACAGTGGGGGAAGACGGCCGGATAGCTCGACACGACAGCGCATGGGACCAAACGTGGGAACAAGTGCGAGAACAGGTCGCATGACTTCCTCCGCGAAACTTCCACCGTGCTGTTCGATACCCCGGTGCTGTACGTGCGTAGCCCACGAGGGTATCGTTGACTCTGCGGCATGCAGAGAGTATTGTCGACGCCGTAGCAGACGAGAGCTGCAGATTACCCACAGATGTTTGTTGTTTCGAGTAATTGCCGAGTTGTACCCGCCCAAGTGCGGGTCGGGCAGGGGTCCGTTGCAACTACCGGGCTCTACCCTGTTTAAATTGAAACACAGACGGGCGCCTCCGAGGTTGACGAAGGAAAGGAAAGGTGATTGCGATGTCAGGCAAGGTTGGCGCTGTGTGGTATCCATGCAAACCAGGGTAGTGGGTGCGTTTACGCCATTTGCCCTTGAGTCGAATCGGCACAGGAAGTTTTGGTGTTGCTCATGGGCCACCATTTGTATATATCGTGGGGAAGGGTCGAGAAACTCGCGCCAGGGACAGGACTACGCCTTTAATCCCGGCTAGGACCCATCAGCACCACGTTGCTTCGTTCGGTGAGGGGTGGGTGGTGCTCCAATCAGACACCCTAGTCAGCAGTCCTTCCTCGTCAGCGTGCGCAGGCCAACCGAGAGCCGACTGTCGCTTTGTTGTCGTGATGACTCCGGTCCTGCACCAATCGACAACCCCTCTCCTCTTTGCTGAGCTAGTTTGGATGTGGGCCATCCCCCCGAAGAGGGGAAGGAGCCGTTTGCCCTCTGTAGGCGTGCGTGATGACGAAAGTACAACTGAAATAGCCCTTGATGCCCACTTGCCGTCACAGGAGGCCTACTCCAAAATTCAACACTTTTTATTCGTGATCGAAAACGGTGTGGTTGTAGGAATTGCATATTCTCCCTTGACTGTGTCGGGACAACTTCGTAGTTCGTACGATTGTACCAGAGGTACGCAAACAGCTTCATTTGCGTGGTGGGCAACCGGCCAGTAACTCCGCGCCCTCACTTGCCGCAAGAGCAGCTCAGACGAGAGTGACGTCACCGTGCCGATGGACTGCACCACGCACCGCAGAGCCGGGCGGGCGGAACTAGACTGGATGTTTCAATATGGCCAGAAATCCACACTACACGCAATCTCTCGCTGGGAACAGAAAAATCATTATGTACAACTGCGAGGTTCAACGTCAAGGCAGTCACACCACATAGCAAACCCACACACGGGGAAGACGCACACACTTGAAACGACCAACTGTACAACAATGTCCACGACCGTACCCACCTTACAACCCGACAAAATTTCCCACCACACCACGCGCGCGCTCACTCACGTTACTGCACTCGATGTAAGCACAATCAGCAGTTTACCCAAGAAGCGCTGCGCTGGTAGCTTGACCTTGGAACGCTCCGCGTAAGATGTTTCACCGCAACCGAACAACAGCAGCACCGAGGCTTCATCAACACGAACAATACACACTCACACCTTACTGGGGACCGAGGAAACACTGCCAAGTCTGAGGGGGTCACACGGAAACACAACCCACGCCATCAAGCGTTGCGATCAACTCTTGCCGGTCCCTCCTACCCCCCCGCCGCCCCCATCGCCGGCCCCCTTCTTCCCTGAGAACGCCAGCCTCTTGATCCTCGATGGCAGACGCGAAGACCTTCCGCCGGAGGCATTGCCCCCACCCCCTCCACCACCCACGCCGCCGCCGCTCCCGCTGCGGCTCCCGCCCAACTGCCGACCGAACAAGAGCAGCTTCGCGTCATGTTCGTCGGCCTGTGAGCGCGCGTCCGCCGCTGCCGCTGCCACCATCGAGCCGCCCCCGCCTTCGAGTAGCTGGCCACCCCCTCCGCTACCCGGCGCAAAAGAAGCCGTCATGGTTGCTGTTCCGCGTCCGGTCGAACGTGGTTCGCGGAGAGCTCGGGCTTCTGCGGCGGCGGCGGCCGCGGCCGCGGCTGCCGGGCCGATCGTGATCGGCGACACGTCGTCGTGAGCCCTGTTGCTGTCGCTGTCGCTGCCGTTGTCCTGACCGCTGTCATCATCGTCGTCGTCGTCCGCCTCAAGGGCCATCCGTCCCAGGAGCGAAGCCCCCGCTCTGCGCGGAAGCGGAGAAACAAACCCTTTCCACCCCACCCAGCGGCTCGACCCCGCCACCGCGCCGCTTCTGTCAGCAGGGCCGCCGGCTTTCCCACCTCGCCCCGCCTCCGCACGTGCGGTCGCCCTTGGTGGCGTCGCGGATGAGTTTCTCGCGAGAAGCTTCCGTCCCTTGAGCGACAGCGACGGTGCTGGGCGCGGGGATAGAGAAATTGACCGAGAGGAACCACCGCCGGGCGTCTCCGAAAAGTGATCGGGCAAGAACACGGGGCCGGTGCCGCCCGTCTTTCCTCCCGCGGCGGCCGAGGGAGAGGCTTGCTTGTTGGTCTTGCCCGGGCCACTGATGCCAGCACCGGCACCACTACCGCTCGAGGGGCGCCGGGAGGCAGCCGACGCGGCCATCAAGGTCGAGGACGAGGTGCTTGTGGCGGCCCCCGACTTGAGGACCCTCGTGTTGAGAAAGTTCCCTAGGTTGTTAAAATTGCGGCTAACCTGTGGGTACGCGATGGTCGAGGGGCATGTTTTTGGAGGACGGGGGAGAGCTCACACGTCAGAGGTTGGAAGAGCGCGTTTTCAGGAAGGGACAAAATGCAAATGGCGAAGTGCATGAGCCAGGGATGAGGATACACCCCACAGCAATAGTGTGCTGGCGCGGATGTCTAGGGTACCGTGAGCATGATTCTGGAGCCGATGCGTGCTTTGGAGGGATCTCTATTGGGAGGAAAAAGCCTTAACTTCAGCGTCACGACCGGTTTTCAGCTTCCATCAAATCCACCAAGTTGTAGAGTCGACTCGTAAAATGTCTTCTTTCCACAATCAGGAAGAAAGCTCCTTGACTAAAGAAATGTCAAAAGCCGAGAACCGACCTGAGAGAGCACATCGAGTATGACGTCTCTCCGCATCCTGAAGAGAAGCTTCCTAGGGGTCCACGTCTTGTTCGTGTAGACGAGGGGGTGAATCTTGAGGTGCACGTTGTCCACATCCTCTAGCTCTAGGTAGCGGTCCCCCATGTAAGTCAGGAAGACGTTCACCTATTGGGGAACAAAAAACAAACGACCAGGGCTGGCTTGATGGAACATTATGCAGTACTCGTGTCGTAACCAAAAGACCTTTTGTTTGCCTCGCACCCCTGCCAAGCCGTGACGGAGAGATGTGCGGAGCTTGGTTGCCGGCTCAGGGTGCAGCCTTACAAGGTTGATAGATCAGATATATAGGTAGTTGCAAATCAACTTACTTGAGTGTTTTGTGCTATTGATCGACAAGATAGCCATGGGGCGTTACCTGGCATCCCGGGTACGATCAAACGCGGTACACTTCGCAGACACAAGTAAACTCACTGCGAAACAATGCACATCCCCCCTCTACGCAGATTTTGGCTCCAAGAAGCGGTGCTGTGCCTCCACAATGACCAAGGGGACAGCAACACAGACACGGCATCTCGTGCTCTTTCTCTGTCCTTGCCCTCTCTCTCTCTCTCTCTCTCTCTCTCTCTCTCTCTTT